AGATATTCAACTACTTTTTATATAAGTACCTCAAACATTTGGAAACACTTAAATCATGAAAAATGAAGTAAGAAAGCATTGGAATACGAGTTATCTGTATACCCATAAAAAGTCAGAGGGGGGGGGGGGGAGGGGGAGGGCATGTACCGGGGGCTCTCGTCCAGGAGCCCTTCTCAGCCTTCTAGCTGTTACAAAATTCTTCCGAAGGGTGGGTCCAGCATTGATTCATAATGAAAAGAAAATGTTTTATTTCGCGGCGAAAATTACATACGGTTGCCTAAATATATTATTTTTTTATCAAATAATAAAAATTAAGATAGCTTTAGTCATCAATATCACCACTATTTGAAATCTCTGATGTGGACATCACTTCCGGACAGCCTTATATTACTACAGGCAATCTAATTTGCATATAAGAGAAAAATGCATTTTTCCTGGTTTTGGGTTGTGTAAAGTTGTTTATATTATTTTTATAAAAAGCAATGTCTCTTTACACTTACATCTTTCCAATTATTTGATCGACACGCCCTGTTTATTAATTAATTTATATAAATTATAAACCTTCATATCACAGGTGTGAATCACGTTATCACGTCCAAGTCATAACATTGTTAAACTAGCGCCAATAACTGCAGTGGAGAATGTAGGTCAATTGCCTGTACAATTCTCCCATAGCATTATTGATTTTTTCCGGAGTGGAACATTTTAGGGAGAGGCGGACGAGAGAGAGAGGTATCCATTGAACCGCAAAATAAAAAGAGAGCGTGGGGCTGCTATAATCAGAGTCTATTATTATCTTTGAGAAGAGTGTAAAAATAGCACACTTTTCCAGTTTCACTCTGTAGCACTTTGCAGACAACAAGATAATTCTCTATGCCATCTGTCTCTCCCTAACAATTTGTTGACCAGCCAACGATAGTTTTGATACACAGGTGTAGGACCGCACCCTGAACTTCAGATCTTAATAGCAATTAACCCTTGCAGTTTCAAGTAACTGGAAACGACAAGGGTATGCCATACATGTTGTTTAGATGTTTGTTTCAAGTTATCGCTGACGCTCAGGGTGAGAAGCCGGGATAGGGGCGAGACGGGAGGAGGGGGGGGGGCGCTTAACCCTTTCACAACCAACTGCGTCACACTGAGCAGGGGGCGAATGCGTTCCCTCAGCACTAACCAGTCAATTTATTTAAGAATCATTCACTATTATTATGCATTCTCAAACTTTACTTAGAGTGTTTTTGTAACCCATGGGGTATATTTGTAACCCATGAAAGCCACTTTTTATTTACCCGAGATGCGTCAAACATTCTATTATTTAGCGTGATCCGTTTAGTCTATTCCATGTCACGTACTAGGAGCCGGGATGTGTGGCGAGACGGGGGTGGGGGGGGGGGGGCATCCCTCACAATCAACTGCATCAGCCCTGAGCAAGGGGCGGAAGCGGGGGGGAGGGGGGGGAGGGCTTTCTATCAGGACCAGAGTCAACCGCAGCACTGTTTCCAGCCTGGTCCGGCAACCCAAGGCCTTCACTTAGTGGTCAGTTGTTAACAAGTCAGGAAGACAGCACTAGGGACACTCAGGTAAACTGGCCATTAGTGATGGGATCATCAGTTGGCCACAATACAGAGGTCACTGCCAGCGGGTTATATTTGTATTTTTCATAGATTTTATATCAATGCTAAGTTTATATATGATATCAATTATTACCTTTGATCAGGCATGAAATTTTGATCAACAGATTCTTGTAGCTAAGAAAGCTAGTTTTTGAGATTTGTGTTTTATTTTTCAGAAACCAAAGGGGGTTTCAACCCCCCACCTCTAAATCCGCCACTGCCTATTTTCTTAACTACTGAATTTTCCATATTTTGACATTTTGATTCATTGACATATATATTGATTTAATTTAATATATTTATTATTATTATTATTATTATTATTATTATGTTAGAATTTATTTTGGTGGCTACAGATCAGCATCACTTATGGTTCACTTGTCTGGAACTGCGCATATTTAACACTGATAAAAATTACAAACAGGCTTGAAATACGGACACCGTTGTATGCGTTTATGTTGGATAACGCGATAATACTAATTTCTTGATTTGTGGTCAAAATATTTACATGCAAATTCCTATGAGAAAATCCGATCATATTTATAACCAGTTTTAGTCATTTAATGTACTTGCTGCTTACTCAGTTACACTCTTTAGTACCAAACCAAGACAATGGCTTCATGAACATCTTATAAAAGTAAGCTTGTTGATTATTCTGATTAACTAACCAGAATAGTCAACAAGCTTACTTTACCTCTTTAGACTTAACATAACGTATTATGTGGAATTACAGACTACAATAAAAAGTTGTCATGTAAAGTTACAGAAATTGCCTGTGAATTATTAAATGTCTCTGACCCACTGATACAGAATGTTAGGTGGACTTGAGTTCAGTTGATAACTTATAATATTGAAATTGTATAGACACAGTAGTGACTTGTTAATGGCTGGTCAGAAAACCTGGGAACAGTGATTAAACATTGACTTCTTTTAGACAAAGCATATAGTTTTACATCTACAGTTTCTTTCTTTCTTTTTTGAGATTTTAAACTCTTTCCACATCTGACTTGCCTATCTGTCGTGAATCTATTTCTTTAAAGTCCATAAAGAATTGTCTACTGTGTCTGGTTTTATCTAATATTCATTTGGCATTTGATATTTTGTTGAATAAAGAAAAAGATGTTTTTTTTTCAACTCTTTATTCGGTCTCTAAGTCATTGAATATACATTAAAAATCAAATAATGTAAATTCTTTTCATCTTATAAATGTAAGTCCTTTGAAAATGAAATACTTGTCTATTTCTCTATCTGTTTTCAACAATAAAGGTAGAGGAGAGGGATTTTCTAGCGTAATATCATGTATTTGACTAAGTACAATTCTTCTTTAAAAGATTATCTATCATAGATAATGTATTTGATCATGGAAGTAAATGGTCTGATGAATACTGAACCTACACAGTATAAAAGTAATAATTATTGTTTAACTCTAAACAAATAGAAGTTGATTGTTCTTAAGATGTCCAAAAATAGCATAGTTATAAGGTAAGAGTTAGTTTTCTGTTTCTGTCATCTAAACACATCATTGAGAGCTATGGCTATAATTGTAGTGATGACACCTGGCGTGGTTCTTTTTATGTATTTCATAGACATCATTGTCAGTATTGATGGTGACATTCTCCGTGGTAAAAGTGTCATCATCTTTGTGATAGTATTCTGTTCTTTCTTCCTCATATATATATGATTGGTTATGGCATTATTGTTGGTCAGTTTATTTTCCACGTTATTGATTTCATCTGTCTCCCCCTCTGAATCTGGAGCATTGTTAGGCTCGCCTTCATTGCCTAAAGTTCCATATATATATACATATTATTTGAACCACGTTTTCTTTTGTTGTATGTTGTTTCTTGTGTTCTGCAATTATTTCCTTGACTGAATTCTACCCCACATTTGTCTGGTTTCTCACAAGTGTGCATTCTTTTAGGGCTAGTGAAGGCCAATTTTGTTATAAACTCTTTGTCACAGAACTTGCATGCATCGTGCTTTTCTGCAGTATGAATGGTTTCATGGACAGTGCAAAAACCTTGTTTAAAAGTTTTGTTTCCAGTGTAAATTATTTCATCGTAAGTGCAATTCCCTTTTGGAGTGAATGTTTTCTAAAAAAAATTACAGATATGTTTGTCTCCAGTGTGATTTTTTTCATGAAAGTTACAACATTTTTTTTGAGTAAAAGTTTTGTCACAGATTCTACACTTGTAAGGTCTCTCTCCTGTGTGAATTCTCTGATGATATATGCAAGAAGTTTTGTCTTTAAAAGTTTTGTCACAGAATCTGCACTTGTAAGGTCTCTCTCCAGTATGAATTCTTTCATGCTCAGTGCAATGGGCTTTTTGAATATAAGTTTTGTCACAGAATCTACACTTGTAAGGTTTCTCTCCTGTGTGAATTCTCTCATGATACATGCAAGAATTTTTGCCTTTAAAAAATTTGTCACAGAATCTGCACTTGTAGGGTTTCTCTCCTGTGTGAATTCTCTCATGACATATGCAAGATTTTTTGTCTATAAAAAATTTGTCACAGAATCTACACTTGTAGGGTCTCTCGCCTGTGTGAATTCTTTCATGAGATGTGCAATTTGTTTTGGCTGTAAAAGTTTTGTCACAGAATCTACACTTGTAAGGTTTCTCTCCAGTATGAATTCTTTCGTGCACAGTGCAATTGACTTTTCGAGTAAAAGTTTTGTCACAGAATTTACACTTGTAAGGTTTCTCTCCTGTGTGAATTCTTTCATGCTTTATGCAAGCAGTTTTGTCTTTATAAGTTTTGTCACAGAATCTGCACTTGTAGGGTTTCTCTCCTGTGTGAATTCTTTCATGCCTTATGCAAGCAGTTTTGTCTTTATAAGTTTTGTCACAGAATCTGCACTTGTAAGGTTTCTCTCCTGTGTGAATTCTCTCATGACGTATGCAATTTGATTTGTCTGTAAAAGTTTTGTCACAGAATCTACACTTGTAAGGTCTCTCTCCAGTATGAATTCTTTCATGCTCAGTGCAATGGCCTTTTTGAGTAAAAGTTTTGTCACAGAATTTACACTTGTAAGGTCTCTCTCCTGTGTGAATTTTTTCATGCTTTATGCAAGAAGTTTTGTCTTTATAAGTTTTGCCACAGAATTTACACTTGTAAGGTTTCTCTCCTGTGTGAATTTTTTCATGCTTTATGCAAGAAGTTTTGTCTTTATAAGTTTTGTCACAGAATCTACACTTGTAAGGTTTGTCTCCGGTATGAATTCTTTCATGCTCAGCGCAATGGCCTTTTTGATTAAAAGTTTTGTCACAGAATCTACACTTGTAAGGTTTCTCTCCTGTGTGAATTCTCTCATGACGTATGCAAGAAGTTTTGTTTGTAAAAGTTTTGTCACAGAATCTACACTTGTAAGGTTTGTCTCCGGTATGAATTCTTTCATGCACAGTGCAATTGCCTTTTTGAGTAAAAGTCTTGTCACAGAATCTACACTTGTAAGGTCTCTCTCCTGTGCACATTTTTACTGAGTGTTGTAAGAACTTAACTGGTGGTATAAAAGTCTTGTCACAGAATCTACCCTGTAAGGTTTCTGTCCAGTATACTTATTTTCTTGAATTTCATGAGATGATTAATCACTGAAAGATTCTTTTCACAAGTTACATTGAGTCCTGATACCAAGGCTCCTTTACACATAATTTCCTTTTTTGTCGTTCCTTTTCCAGACAACTCCTGTCAGCCATTGTTACACTACTGTCTTACATTTTGCTTTAAGCCAGCCTGTCTCTTGGATAAGGTGTAAGACTTACTTAGGCTTGATATGTCCTTTCTACTACTGAAATTGTTTACAATTCAACTCTCAGAGCACCTTAAGAATATCCATTTGGATTCTGTATGAACTTGTTGTTAACATTACCAATGCACCTAGTTTTTGTACTGAGCAATGCATAAAGTTGTATTAGAAACCCCCTGTTTAAGATCTTGAATGCAGTCATTCTATTGGACAATGTTAACTGCTGGTTACAGTGGACGTATATGATTGGTTGAAGTCATTTTTCTCCAATACTTCAGATGCCATAATTTAAAGATGTTATCTGCACAACCCACTGCATATAATTATCTGTTATTACTTCACTAAACATTGGTAAACATGTACCATGACACCATCAAGCTAACATCTAGCTAGTTAAAAGACAAGAAGTGATTTTATCAGTTAGTTTGTATTTGTCACACATGCCAGACTGGTTCTGTAGATGATGTGATGAGTCATTCAGCAGCCAGCAGTTTCAAAAGTGAGGTTCTTTTTCTGAAAAAAATGGACCTTATGCCATCCAATCTTTGTGTACTTAGATAAAATTTTACTCAGATGGAACATTTTCCCAGCAAAAATGGACTCCACACACCCCCTGACTACTGGGCATGTTCAGGTTAAGAAATTTATAAAAAAATTAGTTCAGTTATGGCAAGGAGTTATAACAGTTATAACTCCTTGGTTATAGGTATTAAAACTTAATCCATTAACTCCACCAAGGCATGTTACTTTCAAAAAGGAGCAAGAATAGACTTATTTAAATGTGAGTGCATGTGCAGGTTATTTTACTGTTTGTGACTGCATTTTTGCTAGCCTTTCTGTTTCAAACATAATTTATTCCTCTCAGCTTGTTACCGTTGTAAGTTTTGTCTCTCAGGTGAGTGCACCAATAGGCCAGGGAAACACTAGTTGAAACTAGCTGTAATATCAGCAAGCCACCACACCGTTAAGACACATTAAAACACACCTACAAGGTACCCCAGATAGGTACATGTACTCAGTATGTCATGTTATTGAGTTTTCCTAATGATGTAGTCATTGAATTTGCTATGTCTTAAAGATGGGATACTCTTTCTTTCATTACATTAATTGATATTGTATATTATGACCTATTTGAGTTTTATGTAATTTTGCTAGCTTTATTCATAAATACTGCCAGTGTTCATTTGTGGTTATGTTCATCAGACAGATCAAAATAATGAAAGAGGGTAGACACAGTAGTATTGATGGCTGGTCAGAAAACCAAACCAAACAAAAATATTTGGATCAATAAAAAATATTTTACTTCTTTTATAGACATGAAAGTCTGTGTTTTCAAAGAATTTTACATTTTTTTCATGGTTTACTCATAGCAAATACTCAGTAGTACCAGTGTTAAATGAACTGTTGTGATCAGTTGATAACAATTTAAAATATTGAAAGCTTTCTGACATGAAAGTGTGTACTGATGATCAGAAAACCAACAGAGCTTGTGAAGAGTAAAAAACATTTACTTCTTTTATCTGTTGTTAAGGTGAACACTTTGATTGCTTTTAGCATTTTTAAAACTTTTTTGCTAGTGTTGTTGAAATTTTGGCTGCTGTTTGGTGTCTGTATATTTGGCAGTTTTGATGTTGAGTTGTTTTTTCCTTCAGAATTTGGCTCATTTTTTGTGGAAGTAGTAACCAAGGACCAGACATTGTGGGTAGTTGCTGAGGCTCTGGACGCCATCTTTGATCATGTGTTTGCAGAAGATCATCTGGACCTGTTGTCATGGAGATTAGGGTAACAAACAAACTCCAGACCATATGGTACCACAGCTGACAGCTAAGGTAAAACTACTCCCTGTGAGATTTATTTATTTATTTATTTATTTATCAAAACAGTTAAAGACATATATCAGGAGCAGTTGCATTATCTGTATAGAGGGCAATATGCAAAAAGCGTTGTTTTCTTACTAAAATGATTCCTGCAGTTGGGTATTTAATATTTTCTTTCACAGTGTAATGATAATCTTTATTTAGAAACATATTGATGAACTAAAGCAATGGATATCCTCTTAAGGAATAATATCAAAATTTTTCAGATAAATTAACAGAGGAAAAGCCTAGGAGACCACTTTACTATCAGCGTGACAGCAAGGACAAATCTGGTGCACTTCATCAAATGCAAATCTTGACCAGTAGATTGACTTGGACATGTTTTTCTTCTTCAAAATGACTTAAAACTCGGCAGTTATGTGGATCAGAGAAATAATTAGAGTGAACCACTTCAAGATCCATAGTTTTCTGGTGTCAAGTCATTTTTATTTCAGGCAACACTGATATTTAGCATTAATATTTTTTTTATTATTTTTTCCACAACTTTTATGACAGTCCCACTGGATGATTCATGTGTTATCACAAGATACTGATGTAAAACTTGTTTTTAGCTTTTACTTCCAAAATTTTATATCAAAATGTGTGGGGCTGTATTGTCTGTTAAAACTTTGATCCACTAACTGAGACAACCAAGTGATTAAATTTCTTTTCTGTTTGCTCACCAGCACAATAAACTTTTAGATTATGGTTTTGTGAGGCTTAAGTTGTTCAATTATTGTCTACACCACATTGAATTGGTTTGATTTGATTAAACTTTGAATAACACTCAAATAATCTATAAATTACATTGTTTTAAATGGGTGTAGATGTTAATAAAACATTTTTTTTGTGAATCTCAAGATATAAAAGTCATAAAACTGTTGTTGGAAATATGGATTATTGGTTTTATTTAACAGGAATAGATACATTGTATGGCAGTATGATATTCTATAAATAACATAGTTTTAGGATGGTGTGGATGTTTAAAAAAATTAATTCCTTAATTTTATTTATATATCCATGGGAGTGGGGGGGATATATGGAACCTTTAATGATTCCAATGGCTTTAATGTTTTCTAGTTGAATTAAGATGGTTTGCATGTATTAATTTTTTCAAAGCATTTGCTACAGTGTATGTGTTAGTTTACTGTAACTTCAATTTTACCCACAAATGCACATCATAGTTTTATCATGTTCCTTAGTCTACTATTGCTGTGTAAAATTTAAAAAGGGAACTTGCTGGATGGGTGGGGTCCCCATAATTTTTGTTTTCTTCATTCTGTCTTTCATGATATACAATTTTATGTTATATTTTATGTTACACAATACACATTATAAAGAAAATATGCATCAAATGGATGAGATCCTTTGTGTATTTGGTACTAATTATTTGCATTTTACTATAACCTTAGTTTATCTGTTGTTATCAAATGTGAACATACTAGAATATAAAAGCAAAAGTGAAGTTATCAGTAATTGAGCAGCTTGGTAAGGTATGTGAGAATGAGTGTGTATGTATGTATTTGAGTATACTTATATAAGTTTGTGCAATGTATAGTTTATTTCTTAACTTTAATAAAAGAAATTTAAAAAAAATGAAGCTAAACTTGAATCAGAAATCAAGTGTTGCCTTAAAGCAAGAATCACTATATTATGTTTTTTAAAAAATTTTATTTAAAAGGGTATTTTTGTTACATGTGAAAGCCACCTTTTATTTCCCTGAGATGCATGACAGGTTCATATTATTTAGGGAGATCCGTGAAGCACCTCATTCCTGTAACTCTTAAATACGGCTTTTTATTTTTTGCCCTTCATGAAACGAAGCATTATACCCGGTAATTTGTAATATTCAGGATTTTCAACTCATTCTGCCAGTGAGGTATGCATAAAGTTTTGTTTACTGTGATTTTTTAATTGATGATTTTATTTCCCATGAACTGTGATCACACATTCCCAATGCTACCCTCAATTAAGAAAAGAAAAAAAAAAAAAAAAAAAAAAAACACATTTGACTACACAAAATTTATATTTTATTGTAAAATTAAGAGAATGGCATTTGAAGTTTTTAACTGGCTGCTACAGAAGCAATAGTAGTTCTGCAATGATGACCCTGAAAAATAAGAAGATGAAAATATTAAAATATAATTCAGTTAAAATGTATTAGCTGTTAACTTTGACATCAACTGAAGAAAAAAAATGGAACACAAATTTAACATTCAATGCCTGTGCACAACAAGGATTCAATACATTATTTTACATAGTCAAAGACATATT